ACGAAACATAAATATTGTTTTTGGAATCTTGAAATTATTCATTATTAGATTTAGAAAAACAAGTTTATCCTCAACTTTTTTCAATCATATTTTTAAGTAGTAGCTAGGTTTAGTATGTTTTTTTGAGACGGCAGTTTTTACTTTGTTTTTTGAGTTATTTTTTCACTTTGTCCTTCACTGCAGAGATATAGCAACAATGTTCTGATGATATATTCCTTTCAGATTGTTACCTTTGATAATTATCACTGACTATCTGAAATAGCTGTGGTTTAATAAACTTGTATTGATATTGGGAGATGATTGAAAGTGAAATGAAAATCTGGACCGTGGCAGGATTCAAACCAACGACCATCGGGTTTCCGGCCCACGAGACTCAGCTGCTGACTAGATTTTTATTTTACTTCGATCATCAAGGGTTCTGCCCAAATGCCATGTGAGTTTGTGATATGTTGACAGACCACCGGGCCGGTAACCTAGTGGTCGTTGGTTCGCATCCTGCCATGACCCAGATCTTCATTTCACCTTCAATCATCACTCATTACCTTTAGTAATGCTGCTAATTTTTAGTTGGTTTAATCACAACTGGATTCTGTTTATCATCAACAGATGCTCTATTGGACCAACACATTCAGTTTCACAAACGGGTCCCAGTAAAAATGTTTAATTACTCCTGCGATTTGAAAATTCAGTATACAAATATGCCATGTTTCAATGACATACTAATTATAAAAAAGCTTTCATTTCTGCATTATCTCAATTCGTCAAGTTAAATATCGAGGAGTTACATACTGTGCTAACTAAAAAAATCATTGCTATTTTTGAATGGAATTATGTGTAACTGTCTCTTCTGAGTCTAATAGACTCTTAAAGGAGAGGTAATCCTCTATCAATGGCTGATTAGGATATGATCTATCTGTTCGCACCAACCTTGATTCGCTTTCCATTCAATGTAAAATAAAAATTCCAAGGTAATGAATATCATTTATCCACTGACAAATTTTCTTAAATTATCAAATCCCAACTCGATTTTGATATCTATAAATATCTGTGTCCAAAGATAGTCTGATTTCGGCGGACACTCAGTGAGACCATGTCCGAATTTAGCACTGGTTAGAAGCGAATGAGTAAAGTATAAAAAAACTGCAGACGTTGACTGCTGTTAGCTCGATGGCATGGGGTTCTTTGATTAGCTCGCTCCACAATGGAGCGTTGAAGTCAGCCGCTAAGACCATATCTGAACGTTTCGTCTATGTAGCGAAATTAATAGCTTTCGACAAAACTTATGTGATCCTTCGAAAATTTTGATAATTAATTGTGAACCTGCTGGGGTTCTTGAAAGGCTCAATCACGATGGAATTTTTTATCACAGACGTTGTGGAGAATCTGACATTGACAAGAAAAATAAATGAAACTCGCAAATGATCCAATTATAAAAATGTCAGTTACTCAGCGCCTGAGCCAGCAGTATCCCGGAGATTACAGTTAGGCTCATAAAAATGCTGAAGGGCAATAATCGTAGCTCCAGAATCATTTGGACATTACTTCAAACAACCCAACACAAAATATTATGCAGATGAATGTCAAATCACCTGATTTATTCCTACAAACTGTACCATTTGTAAATAGATGATAAGAATAGAGGACTATGCAATATGACGCCCCTTACTGTTTATAACACATAATCGATCTTCAAATACTAAAAGGTGTATCGATATATCATTCAGCCCTAATACGCTCTATTTTCGTCAAAATCTAAAATTTCGTAAGTCAGAAGCAAGTTTGAATGTTACATTCACTTTGTTCTGAAGTTTATGACTTCTGAGAATCGTCTGACTCGCGTGTATTGTTAGATAAACTGTTATAAAAACCAAACTAAATGTATTACACCATCTCTGAGTAACTAGCATTCCTTATATCTCTAAACAGATAGTTACACTTACGAGACACAATCAGCGCTAACTTTAATATGACGTTACAGTTACACATGCTATTGTAAACTCGACATAAAGCTAGTCTTAATTAATTGAATATGCATAATCTGTTTTGAAGATGTATCTTTAGGTTATTTGCCGAACGACCCAGATTGGTAGGTCTGCGTACACATGTTTTTCTAGCCTCCATCTGCAAAACAAATTATCAAGTGAAGTAATAGCTTCAGGCTATATAGACATGCTGGAGGGTATATTACTATCGATATACAAACATTATTGAACCTTCATCCACCTAGATACAACACTTCTCATCATGTAAATAACAAGACTACAATCTAAATAATACACTGTGTGGACACACTATTTAAATATCACTAATCACTGCACCACCGTATTTGCGGCTGCAAATGATGGATGAACTTTGCAAAGATTTAGCTAGTCAGTTATAAAAGTGTAAGGCCATTACTGGTGCACAATGGTTCACGTTGTCAAACTTCACAGGCGTAGAGCAAGAGGAAATTAACAAAGGATTATATAGGAGGATGAATGGAGTTAAAATAATACAAAAGTAGGTAAGCGGAAAAATGGCAAGAAATAGAATAAAAGTATAACGTAAGTTCTAGCTGTTTCGGTAGATAAATGTCCTCAGCCGTACTTATCACCCTATACCTGACATTATCATTGCTCACCAAGTGTTTGTAAAACAGGTTAAAAAATGCTTCAAAAGAATTGGTAATAAACTTTAGCATATCCACCATCTTTAATGGATATGTTTCACATCATGCTATCTCGGAAGGCAAAATATTACTGAGTTCAGTCTACTAAATCCTGCTTTCCATTGAAGAGAAAATTGCTGAGATGAGGGTCTCCAAAACCTCATGCTTTACAATTAAAACCTACTCAACAATGTTTGTATTCGGTAAGATATACATGTAACACTGAGGTTAGAGGTGAATTTGGAAGAGTGAAGATAAATTTCGAATTATTTAATTAGTATGCTAACACGTCTTGGTTACTTGAGTACAATTTCCGTTCATTATTATCCACACTACTACCATGACAATTGTATTGTCGATGGTATTGCTATAGTACAAGTGTGATGATCACTTTTCAACAAATGACATTATGGAGTAAATTATGGATATATTCTGATGAATAGTTATTTCCTGAATGTCATTCAAGTAATAGCGAGACTAGTTCGCTCAATATGTTTTGACAACCGAATGTAGTGTCATTTGCGACGCAACCCACTTTTAATTTGCATGTTCATAAACTAACTTTGAGTGATTTTGACTGGTTTGATAATTTTCATTAGTGCTCTTCCTGATTCACTACGTTTATTTTAAGTAAACAAATGTAAGCTGTTAGTTAATTAACTAAGTATAGAGAAGGTGCTTTCTCCGGTGAAGACTCTGGACAGTAAACAGAGAATAGTGGGAATGTTAGGAAAACTTCCGTTCAACTCAAATTATTTCCAATACAACTCATGACACTGAGAAAGTTATACTTCTTTGCATCTGAATTTTAATATACATGGGTTTATTTGTGCACTATTCTCAGAAACGTACTGTTGTTATAGAAATATAATCACACTAGGGTTTACCATCAATCGCATTTTTCAATCGAAGTACATATCACAAACTGTAACCATCATGACTAGATTATTTGAAATATTTAATTGCAAGCAATAAGATCGCGAAACAAGTTGCACTGATAATACGCCTAGAATGGTAATTAATTCATCCAAAATATTGTTAATGATCGATTCTTTTGTGAACAAAAAGATGAACAAACTTACTGCAATTAAAAAAACAATTATTACTAATTAACTCAGTCAATACTCTGACGTATGTAAGTGAACTACTGATTATATATATATATATATATATATATATATATATATATATATATATATATATATATATATATATATAGAGAGAGAGAGAGAGAGAGAGAGAGAGAGAGAGAGAAAGAGAGTACACATTTACGAGAATCTAAGAAAGCGCTCAAAACTCAACAGAAAATGAATAGCAAACAAACTTCGAATTCTACCACGATCGATACGTAGAAAGGCACGCTAATACGATACGAAACAATCATACCGCATTTCTGTTCTCTATTCATCAGTTACGAAAATACCATAAAAGAAATGGGATGAATACAAGTATATACACCCATAACAAACAAATTTATAATCACACTTCTGCTTCATCTGATGATAAGTAATGAGAAAATAATAATGATTACAAAATAGGGTAAACAGAAATATCTGGCCGAAATAAACAATGATATAATACCGAAGGCAGCTTATTGTAAAGTAGAAAATAAAAAACAATACGAAAAGGTAGACTAGATTCGAAAAACAAAACAATGTGTAGCTGAACAATCAACTTGTATTGGCTTGATTAATCAGAGGAAATTCCTTTCTCTACACATTTGTGTATGCGTGTGTGCGTGTAGGACACACAAACTTGCTCAAAAGCAAAGAAGACATTACTAAGGAATTTAAACTTATTTTTTTTCAGTCTGTTGGTGATATATGTTATAGAACTACATTTTTTCTGCATACAAAAGAATCAACCATTTTCGGTGAGCAAATAAAGTAAAACGGTGAACAAATATATTTGGTTAGTTGGAAAAAGGTCACAAAATGTGAAACAGTATATAAGTGTATGAGGCGTAAACAGATATGGGTGCATTTATATGAGTAGATAGTCAAAGCAAAAGATATTTTCTTAAGGTCATAAACATGATACAAACCAGTGAGACGAGATTCGATCGCATTTCATGGACAATAAAACAAAAAATATGAAAGTATTCTTGTACTCAAGAATGCAGTCTCGTTGTGATAAAGTAGTACAGTGAAACTAGAACGGTTATAATAACAATAATAAAATTTATGGCATTAACAAAACACGAAAAATCAAAAGAATTAATCGACAAATCAAGGCACATTAATTTCACAAGTAATTATCAAGTCCCCAGTTTGACCATCTTCCATAATAAACTGTGCATATGAAGCATGCTGACAACACGTTTGTCGTAGAATAAGAATTGCATGATCAACGATTAAGTAGTCCATACAGAAGCAGGACACCTGTTGATTTGTACACAGAAAACGTTGAATAATATAGCTGCTATGACGAAACACATATAGACGACAATGGAAACCCAAAAGCAGACTTTCTCCCATTTTTCAACTTTTAAATTTCGCAGAATAACTATACCTAAAAGAAGACCTATTAAACAATAGAAAAAATGGCACAATTAAATAAAATAAACAAAGCGAGACTGTAAACAAGTTATGCTTAAACGTTTAAAGACAATCAGTAACAAGCATTCAGATCAGTGAGTATACTTCACTAATAGAAACATTGACTTCAGTGTATCAACCCATTTAGAAAGAATCGTTAATATTGAAACGCCATAAACACTCAGATTGCAAAACTTATCCCCATACTCTTCAAAATAAAAGCGATACTCTAGTCAAGAAAATGATGAAGCTGTTAATGAAGTTAAGTAAAACTAAGTTCTCTTTGTACTGCTGCTCTGTTTAGCACTTCATACTAACTGGAACTCGTAATTCAAATCAATCAAGAATAGCAAGAATTATAACAATAATTCGTATATTCTAAGCGATTCCAAACAGTTCAACCAACCTCAGTCATACAATAATGATGGATAACCATCTATCTACAGTAGCATTGTCAAAGTAAAACAAACATGGTAGTATTCCAAAGGAAATTCAATAGAAGTATAATACCAGTCATAGTAGCATAAAACTGAGATGACCAACTAGATTTCAGCGTCAAGTATAATGACTTGATCAAACCTACTGGTTAGATATATTCAATTATTAAATTTCATCACTCTGAAATACAAATATAATCCTAATTAGCTTTAAAAAACGACCTATATAATGTGTGCGAATCACTTGAATATTAGTCTATCATCAACTATATCAAAATTATTGCCTAAAGTCATACTTCACAGGTTTTACAAAAAAAGAAGAACTGATTCCCATAAAATATGAGGTTTCGTTTAGATCCCCAACGTACTGGTCACATGTGAACCCCCCCTCTAAAGTGATGTACCTGAACACCATTACACATAGCAGCAGTATTTAAACTTCCTTGGACATGTGGAAGACCGAGATGGCATTTAATCTGTTGGAAATCAGTGTCGATCAGGTATATGCTTTGCATTATGAAAGTATACATTATAGTGGCAACATTAGTAGAACTCTATGCATGGACCGATAATTGATGATTAACACCTGGAAGTAATCAAAACTCCCGTGTATTTAGGTTTTTATATGAGTGTTAGTAGATGGATGCCAGATGATACTTTCAATGGCTAATCAAAACCCACAACAATATATACCAACCTGGGTTACCTCTGATTCCATCTTGATGCTAGTTTGACTGAAATAGGTTGAATAAACAACACTTCTATGTGAACAGTCCTACTACATGGTTGTCACACACAGCCATTACGAATTGAAATGTTCGATGGCTTTTTCTGTTACATGATTGCTATTTGTAAAACTGCTTGCAACTTGAAGTGAAATTATATCAATAATTCCAAAACCTTGTCGTGGAAACATTAGAAATGATGGAGATTTTTACTGCATAACTGAAGTCACCTTCAATCACTGGCTACTTTAACTTAGATGCGTTTACACACACGATCTGAGTTAATCTCATACCATTCATTATTTGCTAACTCTCAGACGAATGATGATAATATGTATAGTAATATATGTATTTGCGCACTTCATTCGATGCATGTTCCTTCAACGTGATAATGAAATTTGAGGATATGCGGTCTCCATTTTTTTTTACTACTTCAGTGAATGATTCTAACACTAAGCTGTTTTAAAAAAGGTCAAGTATGGTGACACTTTAGAGTTAAAAGCCATCCAAAAACCAATGTTGTGAGTATACCTTACTAATAATAACTGTGAAAAAAGAAGTGCCTCACAAATAGTTCAAAAGCGTAACCGAGTCCAACATCTAAATTTCAATATTAGATGCGAAACGACTGATTACGGTGACTACTCCACTTAACTGAGAAACTATACTAATCCCGGTGAGTATATTATCGACGAAATCTCACCACAGATACAGAAGGCTCGATTGACTTTCGCCGATTGGCACGAGTTTCATGATGAGATATCCCACTGTCCGTTAAGGGATAAGTGTAGTCCAGAGCAAGCCGCTCTATCCTACCATACTGCTGTGAAGGGAGTAAGTTAAGCTTTTAAAAATATAGGTAGTCAAATTTACACGAATTGTTCTCCACAGAGTTACAAATGTTGCAAAGGTTGCTTGTCCGGTTGCTTCGATATTGTCGATGATTTCATTTCGATAGCAGATAGTAGTAGCAAGCAGTGAAATGTAGTCCACGTTTTGTTTGCGATCAGATGGTTGGATATACTTGCATCCTAGTATTATTGTTCCTATCGACAAGTAAATTCAGCAGCTATCACTTCAAAAGTAAAAGCGCTATCTACTAGGTTAATGAATTAAGATAACCACTTCTTGAGTAACAGATATAGCTTGATATTATAGTCCCAACAGAACGAAATATGTCTTGGATAGTACCACTAGTAAGTTATCTACTAAATTCAATGCAACTCCTTTACATAGGCCTCCATATATCACAATCTTGAGCTCATGGTCACTCATAATCTTTTCTAAAAGAACAAACACTTCAGGCATAATCCCAAAGATGGCAAACATTAGTAATACATCACACCATTTCATGCTTCAAAACTATGATCTCCATATACACCACGTTTTAAAGCAATTGAATCGTGAATAATTTCATCAAAATTCTGTTCACTATTTAACTATTTAATTTTGTCACAGCTACTTGTTCAACACAATTATTCCCGCGAATTGAAAACAACTGCATAGTCAGTGAAAACCATTTACTACTTTAAAATGTTTCATTTCAGTAATATAATATCTTAGACATTGTTTTTCCGATATAAAATCTACAACCTGATTATCTGACCACCAGTATGATACTGTTCTAACTTCATAACGAAGATCTAATGATCAGAAATCCCTATTTTCAAACTGAAAATAATCATTTTTCTGGTACAATATCATTTACAGTAGAACTTTCAGTGATTTTATTTCTCATAAGCGATTTGGAGAAAAAAGGGACAGGAAGTAAGTATTTTTTTGATTTCAGGTTGGTATTCACCATGAATTGATAGCGATTGTAAAAACATTGAAAACCTGGGAGCGTTAGATAGCTATTTCGTCCTAATGTGAGACTTCTCAGCAGTGCGCACCCATAACCCTGCCAGGAATCAAACCCAGGACCATCAGGTTCTGCGGCCAGCACGTTACCATTGAGATACTGGGTCGGAATCCTACTTCTATCAGTTCCCAATACAGTATGACCTCGGACAAATGCCATCGATGAGTTTCTGTCCCTATAAAAAATTTGTTGGCCCCACCAGTTACGACTTCTCATCAGAACTTCGGGAAATCACCTCGCAAAATAACTCAACAATGAGCACTAGAAAATTGTTTTTTTGGTTTATTTCTGAAGTATCCAAGAAGCTTTTCTGAAGCAATCAAGTTGTTGTATTGTTTTGCAGCCAATTTTTATATACTTCATTTTCAGTCATTGTTCTATGTCTCATTATTACAAGAATTTACCTGGATACTTGAAAATCTAGTCGATACAAGTCATTCTGTTGGTACAGATTTATGTACTAAGCTACGAGTCACTTAAGGTCTAAGCAAACATGCAGTTGAGTTTATTCTAAACAGTCAAAGCTCCGTTTGCAAGTTACTTACTTTCCAGCCTAAAATGAGCGCCTCAAGTACTTTTAAATTACTGTGTATTGTGTATTGTTACTCACATTCAGATACTTGTGAGTTGTACATCATAAAAGAACTGGCAACTTATAATAGTAAGATGAAGTAGTTGTTTAGTTCAGTTATTTAGTTATTATCGTTTGATTTTAGTAATACATATACGTGATAGGTGGCAAGGCAGTTTATAACGGGTTATGACCACATAGTAGTTTCAAAAAATTTAGTCTTTTAGCTACAGCAATTTTGCAAAGAAAAATGTCTGCAAATTTAATAATAGTCCCACTTTCATCGACTAAGAAATACTTTGTTGTTGGATATTTTTAATTTCCCGTTACTATATACAGGGTCCTATGAGGACGCCTCGATACTCCCGGATATTGATGGTGCTGTATTCACCTTGTTGGCTCGCTGTAGAATCCATAATGCACATTTCGTCCTGTTTGGGACTCGTCAGTTGGATGAACCTACACCCCAGTGAGTGATGTTTCCACACCGACTCGAACCCTAATATCCATCGCTCCAAACGCCAAAGCTTTATCCTCAAGGCCACTGTGGGCACGAAATCCACCTCTTGTGCGAGGGGTATCAGTTGTTGTCGAAATCGCAAGTACCTGTTGCGAGAGTGGTGGCCTTTGTGCCCCAGTGGGTAACGCTTTGGACTTGAAGCATTGGGTACTGGGGTTCGAGCCTCAGTGGGAACAACACCCACTGGGGTTCAGGCACACCTGGCTGACGAGTCCCGAATAGGACGAAACATGCGTCCTAGATTCCACTGCGAGTCACCAAGATGAATATAACGTTCAGAAATACTTTCTGTTCCTGACAAAAGACTAGTTAATTGCGTGGTACATAAAATACAACCTACAATAAACACGATCATTCACCTGAAGGTAAACGAATAACTCTACACTTCAATGATAGGTGGATTTGTACGAGACCAGTCAGTAGTGAAGAGGATGTTAAAATCAAAAGAAACTATGAGACAGAAGGAACGAAAATACACCTGCTATTCATAGTACCAAAAAAACATACTAAAAGTGTTTATTAACCGACCTGCTATAAAACCACCGAAATGGGCAGAAAAACCAACACGTGTAGCCTGACTGGGATCTCTGAATCGAGCATAAATAGCTAATCCAGTATCGCCGCCTCCTGGTATTCAGAATTTGGAAAACAAATTATCATTGCAAAACATAATGAAATATTCATCAGATTTGATAAATATAAGATATACTCTGATAGAAAAACAATGATCACCGTTTACAGTTCAATTGAAATTTTGTCGAGGCCCAAACAAGGAAATCGTTTTCACATTAGTCTACTAGAGCCTGTTACGCATATCAGTTTGCGGTACACTAATACTAGTAATCAACTGTGTATTCAAAACCATCATATTTCACTAGCCAGACTAACCTTACAAATAGTTCTACGCTTCATAGCTTGTTGATGTACAGGGCAGGATTCAAACGAAAGGAAATTACTACTAAAACTGTAAGACATCACGTCTAAGATCAACCTGGTTGCAACATGTCAACAACAGATAATAATCCACTAGACAATTACTCTAAACACTACATTATGCACAAGGAAAGTAGCGAAAAGATAATAAGTATTCAGAATCGTCTCTCTAACACAATCCAAATTGTCCACCAATTAGTTACATCGATTATCTTTGACTAACTTCGTTTAACGCAACAGACTTAGGGTTTTATTTATGAACTATCAAAAGACAATGAGATATATGCACTTGAGTGATATCACATATATTTAACGTGATATATTTGAGCAAAAGCAGCTCACTGCAGCAGTGGCTTGGATATTCGAATTTCAACCAGTGAATCACAAATTAGTAACCTATTCTAACTAGAAAATTCAACAATCAGAAATCGTCAACCAACCACTCAAAGCATGGACCTATAAGAAATAACCGGGTTTACAAATCCCTACTGGGTAAATTCAAAAATGAATATTTCGAGCAAAATCTGAAGTGTTACTAAACCTTTCATTTGATTAATAATGTTCTAATTATAGCTGTATCGGTCTTTCAGATTAGTGCAAAACTCAACGAAGAACGTTAAACATGTTAGAGAAACAGTCATTTCAGCTATTAGTACCAGTCATTTACTTCAACTTCACTTCATCCCAGATTTGACCGCAAAACTTCAGAAAGGTTTATATCAGCAACTACTGAGTTCGCTATTAGAGCTAACTAATATAAAATAAGCATCAAGTCAGTTTTCGGATTCAAATAGTAGGATGCATTTGAGAAGAGATCATCATCAACAGGGGGTAAATGAATTCGTCGCCAATGATGTGCAGACAGTTCCAACGCGATATCAATTTCTGTAGAGATTACGCAGATTTTGTAATCCAATGCGAGCATCTAGATGGAATCATTATATCACCTTCAAATGACTGAACTATGCATAGGTCAATCCCATTGGAAGAAGAAAGATATTAATATGCAGGACAGTGGACTTCAAAAGCACAGTTTAAAAGTTTAAGTTTCAGATGCGGATAGAGTTATAATATGAGCATCTTAATGAAGCACTGATCTATATCCGTAAAATAAAACTGATAAAGCTGGCGATTTTTACAGGGAAACAATACCAAATTCAACCTTTTCATAAAGTTTACTGATTGTTTTATGAAGTAAAGGAAAATCATAAAAAGCATGATTTTTATACGGAACAATAAAAGCAACTAATATATTTGGGTGACGTGGTGACACCACAACACACGATCTATGCTACGAAGGCAATGATGGTTGAACACCTGAAGTCTCCTTGTGTTTCTAATCACTAAGTCTTCCCTTTACACAACGGCAAACTAGATCTTTGCCTACAATAGTGGTGATAATACCGTTGTCTCCAACTGCTGTTTAAATATCCTCCTGGCTTTCAGAATATTCCTCTATCTTAATGATAGGTAGTGATTACTGGTGGGATCTAGGACGCTCGTTTCGTCCTGTTTGGGACTCGGCAGTTAGATTTACCTGCCTCCCAGTGAGCGATGTCATTCGCACTAAGACTGAAACCTGGGACCGGGATCGCTTCAGACGCTAGCCACTATCCATCATTAATGTATAATTGAAACCCAGGCAGTATCAAAGCATCCGTGCAGGAGCCTGTATACTAACAGAGATCGATCAATTCAGTCCAGTCAACGACGAGATAATATAGGTAACAACATGTTCTTCCATCTTGCTAAATATACACAATCTTATTAATGGATCTTATATCTCCAACTATTCACTTCTATTGATTTTAATCATGTAACACCTATGTTATCTTCTTTTTCTAACCGAACATTCTTTATCAAATTGTTAGCAGTATGCAAGCAGCTGATGAGACATTTTGAAAACAAAGTGAAATCATACGATTACCATCCGATTATTATCCTCTCCGTTCACATTTAAGAAGGGTGAGAGCTGTATGAAATTGAGAACATTTATGAAATATGACGATTATTTCCTTTCTATGTAGTCTTAAAAAGTGACTGCTATTAAGTATTATGATAGATGTAGTAAATAGTCTAGAGTCTATAAATTAGGAATAAGAGATTGCCTATAAAATTTAACAGACAGTATCAATATGTGAACTGGCATTACTGCGAACTAGCCAAAGTTGCTACACTTTACATCAAGCGAGAATACACTAAGATGAAAGGTAAGGAAATACAGAAAAGAATGGTAGATAGTCAGGAAGAGAGCACAAGAGGCAGTATGACAATAGTGAAATTCAGTATGATGATTGTGATGAAAATAATGTATGGATGTATCGGCGCCATTGAGATCGATTCTGAGCCACATCATCTAGAGACTCCAACCAACGACTTCAGTTGCTACACAGAACAACAGTCAGGGACTGGTTACCCCTAACGTTTTTCCAGCCTGAATCTGCTCCAGTTAACATTGTACAGTGGAACAGACGATGACAAGACATGCGTAACACATATCCCACCCATCTAAGACGATAAGATTCACAACCTCATCAAATGACTTCCTTCTGCACAAAGCTCTATGCCTAGCTTTTAAGTTACCGACGTGGTGACACCACAACAGACGAAGGCAATGATGTTCGAACACCTGAAGTCTCTTCATGTCCCATACCTTTCATGGTCATATCTTATTCATACATTAGAACAGGGCAAACTTCAGCGCAGTTCACTCGAACATCACTTGGAGATGTGGTTCATTGATCTAAGCATTCAAGTACCAACCGACGGATCGCCGGTACGAACCCAGCTCCACCTGCAGAAGTTCGCCCAGCCAGATAATATCATTAGCCCTCACAAAATAGGTGTAGCTGTTTGCTTAATACACGAACATGCACAAGATTGCTGAGCGGATTTCGATTTCTTACCCTCATTAGGCAATCAGTTATCACAGAGGAGCAACATATGGTGTATGTTGGCGAAAGCCTAGTGAATCTTTTGTATCCGTGCAGAGATTTTCTCAGCTACTAACCCACTAGGGCTGTTGCGACTTCCCAACAAGTGAAGCGGTTGCGTGTGCTGCCAGACAGGGTACCAGCGAAGACGAGTTCTAGAGCAATAATTTGCATTTGGGTGGTGAGAAACGTATCCCCAACATTATTAGATCGTTACTAAATGTGTCCAATAGACTCAATATCTTGTCAGTGAACCTAACAAAACTGTATCATTTGCATACTCTAGCTTTATTAAGGAGTCTCCAGTGACAAGATCAGTTTTAGAGGGGAAATACTCTATTTATGATTTAGATACCATTGCACACAACAATAAGTTTTGCATTTATTTTCTAACTACATGTTGTGTTATAATGAAATTCACTTTGGTGCACGTCAGTAGGATGAAAGTCAGATTTCAGTAAGTGTTTCCTCATAACCGCCTAAAATAACATTTCTTTAGACCATTTCTGGAAAGGAGATAATGCATAAATGTAGCTCAGGCAATGGCAATGATCCCACATACTAGTCAACACAACACTTAAGTGGAACAATCTTAATTGAAGTGAAGATCTTATGTCCCTCACACTTACTAAAATTAATTTGCTTTTAGAAGTAGCAAGTGTATGCTCATTGCTATCGGTACATTTATACTTTTCTTAAATTCAATAATAATTGATGTACCACGACACCGTCCTAGTGTTGGAAGTCTCTTGACCAAAAAGAGATAAAAGAATAAAAGTCACTTTACAGTGTCACAGAACAAATTAATAATCACTAAGCAATAACAGTAAAACAGTGACAACTTAAAGATACTGGTGATACTTGGAATGTAGAGATAGCATTCAAGCACATGTACAAGCAATGACAAAAATTTACACAAAATAGTTCGTACCAAATGAGGTCAGAAGTATTCAAAATAAAACCTGTGACGAGATGCCTGTAGACATTATAGAGAGACCAGCAGAAGCCTTTAACAATACGTACACATCTCATCGAGAAACAGAAGGTTTCCAAGAAAAAACATTTGAGTCGCTTAACTGAAAATTTTGATGCTTAAGTTGAAAAATATAGAATTTTACGGTCAGAAGCATGTTGTTTGACTCTACGCAAGTGCAGAATGGAGATTTACGAAAAGATGACCATGAACTTAGAATTTTGATTAATGATATTAACGAGTTGTCTCAAAATAATTCGGATTATGGTAACTGAAATACCATATATTTTTCAAAAATAGATTTTGTTTTGACGAACTAAAATTATAACTCGAAGTAATAAGATATCAGAATCAAATAAAGATGAAAACAGTTCAGAAAGATAAGTAAAGCAATACTAATTCGTAAGGTAACTTCTGACATACAAAAGCAAAGATTTCATAGTTATTCGACTGAGAGATAAAATGACCATAATATCTAAATTGATGTTGAACCTTGCAAACTCGTTATCTCTCTTTACATTAACTCATACATTTTCTCGATGAATGGTGGCTACTTGACATTAATCTTACACTACTCTGAGAGAGATTAAATGGTGACAGAGTTGTGAGGGCAGTTGGTACTTCCCAGCTGCCCGGACCGTGAAAGGTTATTTCTTCTTAAAATACCTGAAAAAGGATTAGTGCGTGACCGCAAAGCCTAAGGGATATTTCCTTCAGGCAGGTGACACAGGAGCTTTTTGCAAGTTTGAGATTTCGGTTTGTTAGTTTTGAAGCCGACTATGAACCCAGGTCTCCAGTACCAAGATGCCATGGAGTAGTGAGTGTGATATTCTTAGGGCAAACCTTTTCTAACCACTCACTTTCCCATAATGGAGACAGCATAAGCGTAGCACTGCTATTACACTCCCATCCAGCCAGGAGTATGACTTTTCCCCCACCTTAGCGTAAATGTTTACATTATGAAGGTAACTGTTTTTTGTCTCACCACTATCCAACATATCTTTCTGGTATGGTAAGATCTCGAGAGACCTTACAATACTAAGTGTTGAGTGATTATTTCAAACCATATCCCACCTACTTCAAAGATATTCTATCATGGTTATGAACACAGTGATTCACTGAAAAAAGTATCACGAAAATCAACAATCACTGAATTTCTATCAAACTTTTTCAATTCATAAAGCTGGTCATGCAGTAATATGATGGATGGATGACCACGGGATTGAGTCATAACCGTTTGAATATTACAGTTAGCGATTAGCAGTAATGTATAATCAGGAAAAAAGCGTAAACTTTACCATTGCAAAGTGATATTACCTAAATGAACTGAAATGAACTGACTGTGAAGGTCAGTAAAAAACTCGTGAAGTGCATAAGTATACTGAAATAATATACAACAAATGGTAAGGTGATTAATTGACTTTATACTTGCGAACACGACAAAATAATCGAGTCAAATGAAATGTTAACTGTGTTCCACTTTTTTATTCACATACAAAATTATTAATTACAATATATTGCCAAGTTAACTTTGGTGTTCCACTGTGTTTAAACGATCCGAGCTTCGTATAACAGAAAGTATGTAAGTGTGAAATCCCGGTGAAGTAATGTAATAAATCTATGTTGTTACATTAACTCACTAAGGCCACTTTCTCATTGAGTATAATGCTCACCGTAAACAACTGTCTCACTCACTAATTGTCACGAATCCACTAGATTGATCTTCGGCGCAATATTCATAAGTTGTATATCTAATCCATAGTATACAGAAATCACTGTTACCCACTAGTAGACATATTGCAACTTGAACAAATAAACTACTGATACACCAATTTTTGTATTGATTAACTGTTTGGTGACAGAAAGACTTGGCATCATGTTTACGCTAACTTATATTATCACTAACACACAAAGAGATAGATAACTTGAAAGTTGAACTAAGTAGCCCACAGTTATTTCCTACTCAAAGATGTATGCCTAATGAACGCACCATCACAAATTAATTCATTCAGTAATACAGTTTCTTAAGAGGAGACAATGAATTCAACTACACAAACAACAAAGAATAGTATTAAACAGAAAGGGAGGGAGATAGAAACAAAATAACACGATTTAAATTGATAACTGAACTACGCTTTACTAACCACATACATAAAGCAAGTCCACATCAACAAGTGCTCATAAAAAACATTAAATAGAAAAATATTTTTGAAAAAACATCACTACTACACATTCATACATGCATTATATAACATCGGCAAAAATGTGCGACTGCTTAGTCACCTGTTTACTCACCTAGTAGTATGATAAGAATTAGTCTTACAACACCACTGGACAAAAAGTTCAAAGGATCTTCCAGCCATCCTTCTTGCATTAAACTCCAATTCTATAATGTAAAAGAAGTAGCGAATAACAGCATTAAAAATATTATTGTAACCTCGAACTGATGGAATGAAATAAAACATTCAGGAAGCAATGAATATACTTTGTATCAAAGTGATTCTATGATGTCTTGTATATATGTATATAGTTTGCTTAAGTACAAACGATGTAAGAAGTTAACCTGACTCCTTTAATAAACTGAAAGCTTAGTTACTATTCACTGTAATTTATCAATTCTCATGGTAGAATGTAGTACGCTGATGAGCCAAATCAAGTTTTACGATAAGAACACTAGTCACTGATCATACAGAATTAGACCCTTTTCGAAATTCTGAAAAATAAATCTCATCACCCTTTGCTATATGTTGAACTAATACCATTGTACGTAAAATTCTCACTGACGTACTTCAATCCAATAAAACTATGGAAAACGGTTTGAGTGTAGCTCATAGATGGTCGATATAAGAATGTTTTCAAAGGTTAGAAAAACGCAGGAAAAGTAGAGCTAAAAGAACTCTCGTTTTTCTTTACATGTTGTATAAATCTCTGAGATAATAACTTGTTTGAAATCTAAGATCACCTGAACCATCTTTCATTCTCGACAACAGACAGCAAACAGAAAATTGACCGGGAAGCTAATTAATGCACCATTTTTCTCACCTACTTTGTAGATTCTTCAGGTTAAACATCAGCAAAACACTTAAGAAAAAAAGCAACCATAGACTTCTAATTAATTTAAAATACTCTACTTGTGAGAGGAACCTCTCAGTCATCGAGTCTCTACTAGTTGATAAAGAAACTAAGAACGATTATAAAGATTACTCCGTACAATAGAAATCAAAACCAATACCACAGAAAATATCACCTGATAAACGATAGTGGAAGACAGTCAAATTCGAAGCTGATACAACGTTAATATAACAGTAATTGTGTAATATGACTGGTATAATTAGGTTGGTTTCCGACTATTGAATTTAAATGGTTTTCATAGGCTAGACCTAGTGAAATCGAAAAACACGTTAAGCATGTCAGTCACAACACGACTGACCAAATTATGATTTTCCTCCAGAACTTCTTTTTCAATACATGTATCTAAAATTATCCACTTCTAGAAGCGTTTAAAATATGACAGAGCGGAAATAAACAATACCACAAACGGATAATACATCACACAATGCTTTAAAGAAGACCTGAGTTAAATGAAAGAAAACCTAGGATCGACAATTAAAACTAGCTAGTGTTCTCAAAAGATTTCGTTTCTCATACAGTTTACACACGACACTGCAGTGACTATCAAAAATAAACCCGACCGATAGCTGCTACCTTGACGTGGTGGTCGGGCTTGCATATCACAATGACCCAAAGAGCTATGCTGGTGGAACACTTGTTCCCTCGAGGGCCTACCACACCACAAAGGTCTGTTGGGTAGTGGTTAGACGAAAAGCAGTTACCGTTATGGTGTAAATTGCTACACCATGATGAGGGGTCTGAGAGCGAAGTCGTACTGCTGCTAGCTGGATGGGGTGTGACAGCAGTAAGGTGTTTCCCTTGGATGACCAGTAGTGCCATGTTGATGTTGCCTTCTCAGTGGAAGGGGGTTAGAGAGGCGATGCAGACTAGGTGGTTGGGGTCGGCAGGACAAGAGGAACCAGTGGTTGGAGACTCTAGGTGATATGGCTCAGAACCGATGTCAGTGGCGCAGATGTATACACACATTATCCTCATCTTAACTACACTATACTGAATCTCACCATTTTGTCGCTCCTCTTTCCTTTCTTCTCGTACTTTATGTTTCTTTTGACTGCATTCACTTATCTTCATCCTTCAACTCATCACCTTTCTACTTGATGTACTGACGTGAGGTGTGGCAACTCGGACCGTTACGCAGTAATGCCTGGTCCTATGTTGATAATGATTGATTGATTGATTGATCAAAAATAAATTTACACAGGGTAAGAACAACAAACATTGTAGGATGAATGGAATACATTTCCTGAGCTCTAAATCTTCCATTTAGGCATTTAGTTTAAAAACTGTTGACAATAAGCTGTCAGTATCCAGTATAAGTTATTAGATACATTGCAATAGTAAAATCGACATTCAACACAATTTTCATATCAATTTATATGGGGACAGAGATTAATGAAAAAGTCCATGATCTAATCAACCAATACAGGAAACAAGTGAAGCTCGCTTTTTTAGGATAACATATCAGATTATAGAATCAACCACCAAATATAACGAAAATAATAAAACGTAATAGTGATGCAAGAGTATGATTAAAGCCCATGGTGGTGGGAGACTCGATAAGAGGGAAGGGGGGAGAACAACGAGGACAATGTACAAAGTATATTGATTTATGGCAAAACAGCAAAAAAGGACATGGTGCCACTTCCGCATAACGCAACAATCTACTACTATTACTCTGTCTATTGATGACCTGGAAAACACACGAAATGAATTCGATTTATCCCACAATGTTTGCTGTTTTTGTTTTTCAAAAATTCAAAAAGAGGAACAAATCGTCTGAAATAAATGTATGGCTTTCGCTTGTATGTTATAAAGAATCAGAACTAAAATATTGCAAAGGGTGAGAAAAAAAATTGACCTACCATCATTACAGTAGCTAAGTGAGCTCCAATAAGTGCATAACAGCCTCCACTGGCTCCGGCCAACAATACAAACGGATCACTAACAGAATGAGCTAAAGAACCTGTTACACGCATAAAAATGTTTTTTAAATAACTAAAAATCTTAAAGGACAACTTTGTATCAAAGTAAGTTATTTTTTTCAATCAACACAACTGCTAAACAAATAAGTACTTGATTGGACAACAGTAACTACATATTTTCATGAACCAAAAACTGAATAGACTTCTAGGATCAAGCGCAATGGGCAATGAGCAACACCTACTGTGTGAGGGCTAATCATACTGGTTGGTCAGATCTCGGTAGGTGGAGACGAATACAAACCCATCGACTGGAAGTCAAGAGCCAGAAGCAATGGATCACAGCTTTAGGGTTAAGTGAAATCAACAAAAGTAGTAGCATTATAAGATTTACTAGCCTACATACTGTAAGACTCTATGTTGCTAGCTCTTACGAATATCTAGGGCTGAATTACAAGAAATTTAATCACTTTTAGTGATAGTGCAAACGACGAATTCTGTCGAAAACTATAAAAAGTGAATCGTTCAGATATAGTCATAGAAGAAAGAAACTTAAACGTTCATGTAGGAGAACTGCTTCAATCGGAAAGGCATCTTGGAGACATCTACGGTATCATATACCAAGTAACCGACAACGGTGATCGTCTGCTTTAGTTTTGTTCTGACAATCACTTCTATTTGGCAAGCATTAACCTTCAGCAAAAGGAGAGATACTGTCCCACATGGCATCTGGCGACATCAAACCAACGATGGACACATCGTATTGCTACAAGCTATCGTTGGAGAGGGTCAGTAGAGGATTGCTACTGTTTCTGGAATACATAGTTGGACTCTGATTACATATTAGAACGGGGACTTGTACATCTGCACCTTAACTGGGTGCAGAAAACAGGCAGGAGTTAAGCCTGTATGTGCATGATTAGAAGATGAGAACGCGTATTACGTATTTAAAAAGATAGTTAAGCATTTATCCGAACACGACAGCAATGCTGTTCCTGAGGAAACCTTGCACGACATTCAATCTGCTGTAGAAAGATAGTTGGTAATCTACACCCGAAAGTTGGCAAACATTATTGAATTTCAGAAACGTCATCCGAACTGATTGATGCGAGAAGACTCGCTACAGCTGGTTCTGACTATAATGAACAGCGAAAGCAGCTTAAGTGTAAATTAACCAAGAGTGTGATTGCAAGCAATGGTGGGTGGCAAAAGCGAGAGGAATGGAGAAGACGTCAGCGTTAGGTGGCACCCGGCAATTACTTAGGCTTATTAAGAATTCCGGCAAGAAGGAGTAGATGGTAAGTGAAGCCAGCACCGAAAAAGGTGGCACCTTGATAACGTCCTGGAACAGGAGAACAGAATTTTGGATGGAACGCTGTGAAGCACAGTTTAACTGGCCCACAGAAACGCTTGTTACCCAGCATCCAACCTGAACCTGAATTGGACGTGGATGTCGACCCCCAACTCCTGTCGAAGTTGATAGGCCTATCTCTAACCTGTAACGATGCAAAGTAACTGGATCTAATGCTTTGATACTCGAGGTTTTCAAGGAGGGAGGTAGGAAATTGCTGAGTAGGGTAACGAAGGAAATAAGTAGAGTATGGGAATCAGGGAGACTCTTGTCAAACTGATTTGCCTCATCGATCGCTTCAGTCTACAATAAAGGAGAGAAGACCTCTTGTGACAATCATTTGAGGATCAGTTTCACTAACATCGTGGAAAAGATCCTTGGGTCCATAGTTGTCCGATGCCTGACTTAAACTTGAGAACATAAAACCTGAGAAAACCATACAGGTTTCAGACCTGGAAGAGGGTGTACAGATCACTTTTTCACCCTCCATCAGGTTATGAAACAGGTATTTTTACCGGTGGCCAATACTTGTTATATTCCATGACCTGAATGCGGCATTCCAATCTGTCGATTATGAGGTGTTATGGCAGTAACTGGCTGTGAAGGAAGCAGTGAGCAGTTATGTGTCGCTAATCACAGCTCTATACTCGAACTCACATGACCATGTTAGGGCTTATGGAAAGTTGTCATCTGAATTGATGACAATCAGTGATGTCCACCAAGGAAGCCCACTGTCGCCGCTACTGTTTACCTACGTGATAGATGTATTAACAGACACAACCTTAGGCACCTGGAAGCCACCCAGTTGACTTGGAGTGGTCAGACGGTATTATTCTGCTAGGTGATGACGAGATCCAGAGTCTTCTGAACATGTTGAGCAGAAATCTGAGCACTTTCTGGTAGCGCTCCGCAACTATCAAATGTAAGATACTTCTGCACTGCTTTCTAAATACTCCTAGTTTAAGGATGGGGAGTAATGGTTGAATGCATCGACCACTTTACTCACTTGAGGAGTTGCATCAGCTCAAAAGTGGTGGTTGCTCAAGAAACGTCACCTCAGATATAGAAAGTCCGTTTGGCATTTGCCAAATTGCGTCATCTCATGCATTAACTAGCGAGATATACAACCACCTATTAAACGACGAGCATACTGCGCTGCCATTCGGTTTGTTCTGTTAAATGCTTTCAAAACATGACAGTTAAAAGAAGATATGAAGAGGGTGCAAGTTTTCTGATCGAAGGTGTCTTCGCAGCAATGCTTGTACACGGTGGAAACACCATGTTAGCAATGTCGAGGTTAAGCGAAGAGTACTAGGTAATACAGGCAATTCGGTTGATAAGGTTGTGAACCTTCAACGAATGAGGTGGCTTGGACACGTGTTGTACATGCCCAGTCATCACTTATATTGACATGCAATGCTGGCAAAAGTTAGATTACCCTGAAAGAAGCTTCAGGGTGGCCAGACCAAGACGTATCGCCAGTCCATAAAGTCTCTGAGTATTAGTGTGAGCTGTGAAGAAAGGTGTGCACTAACTGACTGGAGTCATTGAGACCACAGCAAACAATGGTTGCAAATTCATAGTGAGATGGCTGAAAATCGGCCACAATGGAGTAGATGCATTCACTCTAAAACGTATTCTAAGGCTTCAGCATTTTCACTGACCTTGGTTTTAAAGTTGTTTCTCTTCGTATAAATCTGTGTCCACTTTGATGTCAGTCATTTTTTGTCCACTCGCTCCTACTGTGAAGCGTGACAACCTGAACCTATGCAACTCTGTGCGAGGTTTTACTTTGATTTTGTCTGCTTGTCTGTCTTTGATGACATTACTCTCACGATATAAAATGAGATTAGCGACTAGAAGTCAGCAAGAGATCCACGACGCAAAATATCATTACAATATGTAAAAGGAACAAAAAACCCAGTGGAAAGGTGCATAAAAACAAGTTTTTTACTTGGTAATGATAAAAAGACAAAAAGAAGCTGTGCAATCTCTAATACCTTTAACTGTTGTCCATACCTGAGGCATGCTTTTAAGAGAAGATAATCGAAAACTATAATGGCATATAATGAGATTTAAAATCTATGGCCAAGTTTGTGTATTTCACCTCGAGATTCATGTATTACATTATGATTAATGACAATAAGTGTTTACCAATAGATAGGTAAATGCAGCAGGTTTCAAAATTATGATTCACTGGTTTAAAATTAAGTGTCTGCACAGCTAAGCAATGGTTTCCATTATAACAAAGGAAATCGTGTTCAATCCAATGAGACTGGAGGACAGAAAATTGAACTTGTAGCTATTCAAAAACAAAAACTGCAACAAAGAAACGCTGGTAAATATGCCGCACTTTGATCTAGGTTGCATCTCAAAGTATCAATATTACTGAACATATGTTTCATCACTACTATAATTCTATGGCATTATAGAGTTGATTCGTTAAATTGATTGGGTCGAAGACGCAGATCAAGCCCTAATCGAGTAGAAAAGTAGTTGTTAATCATGATTTAACTACAATGTAAAAATGGACACCGAATAAACTTAAGTGGGAGAGTGCATTTATTGCATAATAAGCCCATTTTCACAGAACAAATAGACTAATAATAAAAGACAGCTCAATGATCCGGAAATTCGACTCTGAAACAATACATTGAGTTCAGTCTGGACACCCTATCTCAATATGAGAAGCAGGTTGGTTTCGGTAGTAATCTGACTGCTACCAGTATCCAGTACACGAATTTTCATGCAAATAATATCCAATAAAATTAACTAAGCCTTTAACTCGTTCTCTAGATTAAATCGTCTGGTCGTTTCTCTTATTTAATAAACAATGTAAAATTAACTGCTCGTAACAGACTGCTTATAACGAACAGAGACGCACGGCATAACGTTTAATGCTTTAGCCTAAACGTCATATGGTTCTGTAGGAACTTTGATTAGCCGTTACAACTGCATCAGTACTCTTTAATGTATGCATATGTATGTTTATATGCCCTTAATTTCAGGTAATGTACCTACACCTTAAGTTTCACAAGAAATGAAATTATTTTGTTTTAAATAAACAGCTAAAAGGAATGCATTTCCATAAAAAAAAAACGTAAGTATCACCTGTAATAACACCCAATAAATAAACGAGACCAACTCGCCAAAATTTATGCACTACTTCCAATAAAAGACCAAGTACGACTTGTAATAAACAATTGAAGATAAGATGAATATAGCCATTGTGAATAAACATGTACGTCAGAAATCGCCAAGCTTCATGACGTTTAACTGGATTATAAATAAGTACACTCTTAATTGGAACACCAGATGAAGCAGTGACATCATTCGACGGATCGGAGTCTGTACTGTGAATTACAGCATAGTATATGAAAACTGCAATCTGAAAGAAATAAGAGAAAATATCTGTTTCCATTACCAAGCAGACTATTTTGCAGCAAAATATCAACACGGGGATTATTTCCACAACCTGTCGAAGATTCAACATAAAGGATAAAAACGCCAATCACTGAAAACACATTATTTCTAAAGGTTAATAAATATTAACCTTTAGAAAAATGTATCTTCCAAGACCTGAAGGTCCATTGTTGTGCACTACTATATGAACCCTACGATAATTCGAAGTAATGGAGTGTATTCAAACATTACATATTTTTTTCAGTTGATATTTCTCAAAAAAAAAGTACTTTGATATTTTTATCCACTTAAGCAAGACGGTTGCCTGGAGAGTGATTATAAACAAATCATTGCTATGTACAAATGCGCATAAAAACCTCCTATATCCTTCACCTGTGGATAAATACGATTTAACCAGTAATATAATTCGCTACCAAATGAAGCTAAGGAATCTGTGTCCATGAAACAACCTACTAAGTACGCTTTTAAAAACATTCGTGGTGACAAAACTTTTGGCAAGCCATATGTAATCAATAGGAAGCCTATACGTACATCTATCACCGGCCATATTTATCAAAATATTTCACGTATACATCTTCACTTACCTAGGGTTTAGAAACTGAGTAGTACCACAAGCCCTCAGACTAACTGTGGCTTACAGTCTGGAAAATAAACCCCTGTATCGGTTTCATTCACATCATCTATTACCACACATGGATTACAATCGAACCACAACAGTAGAGACTACACGTCCGTAACCCTTGCCGAAATACACGCAGTTCCTGTACAGTGCCCAAACAGATATTTCAAATCACACACTCATCTTCACATGTACATTTACAAGCCAATTCATTAACCACGTACACTTACATAATCTAGGGTTTGAATAACACCTCTCGAGGCCTAATGCTACATGAATATTCGAACCTCTGATGATAGGGCTGGAATTGAACCCTTGAGCCAGTAATTAGATGTTTAGTGTCTGCGTTGAACGCCTGAGTCGGAACGAGTAAACGCACTTCCTAAAAATGCTTAAATTTTCAGATATTCCGGAATCTAGGCTATACTCCCGATATTTAACATTTGACTAACTGAGTATATAAATAAATGCCACGTGAATAACGGTAATTCAAGACTACTTAACTGTACTACAATAGTCTGACAATCCATAAGAAAACCAAGTATTACAGTCTCTTAGCTACGCCGAAATGTCGAAATAAAAAGAACATTACCTCAGCGACTGTTATTAAAGGAATGAATATAGGAGGAGGTCGACAGTCATATGCCTCCACATAATTATTAACATCTGCTTCACCCCAGTTATAACCATCGATGTCATCGTAACCATAATCCACAGCAACAGCTCGCTGATGGTTTCGGCCACAATGCGGTGCTACTGCCAATACTGCACGATTAAGGATGCGTTTATCAATACGTAGTCGTTGAAGAACCTTGTCATCCTCAGAAATAACCTATACAAAGATGAGTTAAGGTTTTAACCAGGCTTAACAGTAAAAACCTCACACAATAAATACTTCAAAATATTTCAAGGTATGAAAGTTTATTTTCTTGTCAAATCCTGTTTTAGCAACCTGATATCCCATCACACAGCATGCTGTGTGGATAAGGGCTTATGAAAGAATACCCGATAACACTAACAAAGAACAGGTGAACAAAATTCGCAGCTGAGGTGAACTGTCCTGCTAATAAAGAGATGCATTCACACAGCAGAACACAGCAAATAAATAAAGATTTCTAAGTCGTCTTTCTTATTCAAGTTACATGCTATAGAGTAGATTGAAATAAAAATATCAAGACAACTAATTATACAATGTACAATGTAAATTTCGGAAATAAATAAAAAGGAAGCCATGCATTCGCGGAAGGAAAACATCCACTCCGTCTGTTTATTCACAACAAATGGGGAAAGTTTTCAGAAGTAAAACGACATCCAAAGTGCAACAGTGAATGTGCTTTCGGGAAATACTTTACCATTCCAATAAACCGAGATCACGAAAGTTAAACCCTTGAGTCTTTCAACTTCTCTTCTTAATCTTGTCAATAAATACAAACGAAAACTTCTACAAAGACTTACGAGTATGATTCATACTCCTTGGCAGTACACGCATAAACCTAAGAGGCCCGTGAGTGGGATACCCTTCAATGAGCTGAGTTGGAGAATATATAGAGGATTTTAATGTCTAGATGTACAATTACATTTAAAACAAATATTTAAGTGGTTTAAAATCCCAGAAACCTCCCTAAAGTTGAAATAATCGACTGCAACATAGTCACTGCCTGACATCCTTTCGATGAAGATCGGATATTTTTTTTCCAGAATACCGTGTTACCCAGAAACAATAACAACGTATTAAATTACGTAGCTCATATATCTTTCCAGCTGACAAGTAAGAACTAGGAAAATCATTCTTCATGAGACAAATGTGAAGTCATGCGACCATGTGGAAGCGAGATTTTAGTAACCAGTGAGACGTTGTGTAGCTTTGCATCTTGCTTGTCTGAATAAAGGAAAACACGATCGATCAAAAATTGACACTGGGTCAGTTATTATTTTTTAATTATTATTATTAGTCCCTTGGGTTCCTAGTGGAACATAGGGCTTCAGTAGCACGCCTCCAGTGACCTCTGTTCTCTGAGATCTTTTGAACCTGGTTCCACGACAGCCCAGAAGCTCTCATTTCCTCCTCGCACGACCTCCTCCATGTCACCCTCGGACGTCCAACTCGTCGCTTCCCATGGGGATTCCACTCGAGGGCCTGACGCGTGATGTCCTCAGTCGGCCTTCTCAGTGTATGCCCAATCCATCTCCACTTCTTCCTGCATATTTGTTGCGTGATAGGTTCTTGGTTGGTTCGTTCCCAGAGTTCCTTGTTGCTTATTTTTTCTGGCCATCTGATCTTCAGCAGCGAGCGTAAGCAGTTGTTGATGAATGTCTGTAGTTTATTGGAAATGCCTTTCGTGACGCGCCAAGTCTCTGAGCCATACAAGAGCACTGACTTGACGTTGGTGTTGAAAATCCGTATCTTGTTCCGCATGCTGAGTGCAGAAGATCTCCACACTGGTTTCAGGCTAATGAATGCCTGTCTTGCTTTTCCGATTCTGACTTTGACGTCCTCGTCCGTCCCGCCTGTAGTTGAAACAGTGCTTCCTAGATAAGTGAAGGAGGTTACTTCCTTCAAGTTTCTACCGTTGACGGTGATTGGAGTTTGTTGTTGTTGTTGATGGTGGTGGTGCGGTATCTTCATCACTTCTGTCTTCTCTATATTCACCTGAAGTCCCGTCTTAGCTGCCTCCTCTGTCAACTTGTTAGTTTTTGCCTGCAGATCTTCAAGTTTATGTGACATTAGGCATAAGTCATCGGCGAAATCCAAGTCTTCTAGGTTCTTTTCCGTCGTCCAGTGTATCCCCCTCTTCTCGCTGCCTACTGTTTGCTGCATGATCCAGTCCACCACAATTAGGAATATCATGGGGGATAGTAGGCAACCTTGTTTCACTCCTGTCTTCACTTCAAAGGCATCACTGAGCTTCCCATTGTGGATTACTTGGCATGTGGCATCTTCATATAGTTGTTGAATGAGGCGGATAAAGGTTTGCGGTACTCCGTAGTATTGAAGCAGTTTCCAAATTACTTCTCGGTCGACGCTGTCAAAGGCCTTCTCAAAGTCGATGAAGTTGAGGTATAGAGCTGATTGCCATTCTACGCTCTGTTCTATGATGATACGAAGCGTTGCAATTTGGTCAGCACATGATTTGTACTTCCTGAAGCCTGCCTGTTCCGGTCGCAGTTTTGAATCCAGTGCGTCTTTAAGCCTCTCCAGGATGATGCGGCTTAATATTTTACTTGGGGTGGATAGGAGAGTGATTCCTCGCCAGTTCTTGCAAGCACTGAGGTCTCCCTTCTTCGGCAGTTTGACAAGGTAACCCTTCTTCCAATCGTCAGGTACCTTCTCTTCCCTCCACACCTTCTGCAATAGTGGTGTGAGCATGTCCGCTGTTGTCTCTGCATCTGTTCTCAGTGCTTCTGGCGGTATTCCATCTGGTCCTGCTGCTTTCCCGCATTTCAGTAGCTTTATGGCGTTCAGGACTTCCATTTTCGTTGGGGGATTTATGTTCACTTGTAATTCAGCGGCTGCAGGTGGTATTTCTGGACGAAGTGCAGGTGGTGGTCGATTCAAGAGCTTCTTGAAGTGGTCGGCCCATCGTTTCCTCTGTTTCTCTTCTTTTGTAATTAAATTTCCTTCTTCATCTTTTATTGGTTTCATCTGTGTTGGTCTCTTCCCTGATAGCAACCTGGTTATTTGATACAATGTCGTCAGGTCTCTCTTACCTGCAGCCTGTTCTGCTTCACTTGCCAGTGTGTCGTAGAAGTGTCGTTTGTCTTTGCGTGCACTCTTCTTCACTTCTTTATCCAGTGTTTTATACATTGTGCTCAGTTCCTCTTGTCGTTGAGCATCCTTGCACTGGTTTATCTTCTGCTTCACCATCCTCCTCTCCTCTATCAGCTTCCAGGTATCCGTCGAGATCCATTCCTTGTCTTCTTTCTTCTTCCTTCCTAATACTGTTGTGCAGGTTTCTTTCCACATAGCTTTCAAAGACTTCCAGTGTTCTTCTACACAGGTTTCTTCAGGGATGTCCCTCGACGTCTCCCATTTTGTCTTGATGGCTGCTTTGAAGATCTCCTTTGTAGTTTCATCCTTCAGTTTCCGAGTGTTGTACTTGAATTGAGGTCTATCACCAGCTTCCTTGAAGGCTTTTAACTTGATTTCGAAGGTTCCTTGCACTAGATAGTGGTCTGAACCTACATCTGCTCCTCTTCTTGACCTTGTGTTAAGTAGACTGCGTCTCCATTTTCTTGAGATTGAGATAAAGTCGATTTGGTTTTTAGTGTGTCCATCTGGTGAAATCCATGTCGCTTTGTGGATATCCTTGTGCCTGAACACACTGCCTCCAATCACCAAATCGTTGAATGCACAGAATTCTGCAAACAATTCTCCATTCTCATTCATTTCACCTAGCGCCTCTCGACCCATGGTTAGTTCTCTTCCCGTGTTGTCCCCTCCCAGTTTGGCATTCATGTCGCCCATTAGAATTTTGATATCGCCAACTGACGTCTTGTCCAGTGTTGACTGAAGTTGTCTGTAGAATTCCTCCTTTTTCTCTTGCTCTGCATTATTTGTAGGTGCATAACATTGTATGATTGTGACCTTTCTTCCTTTTGAGTTGAATCTTGCTGACATGATCCTGGAGGAGATTGGTTCCCACTGCATGAGAGCCTTCGATGCTCTTGAGGACATCATGATAGCCACTCCCTCAGTGTGCTCGTGGTTGGCGTCTGGGTGACCGGAGTAGATTATTGATTCTCCCGTTGACAGTTTGGAGAGTCCACTCCCATTCCATCTGCTTTCGCAAATCCCAAGCACTTCGATGTTATACCTTCTCATCTCCTTTGCAATCTGGGCTGCCTTACTGGGTTCAAACATCGTGCGGACATTCCATGTCCCCACGTTTACTTTCGCTTTCATCGAGAGAAGACACATCGGCCAATTGGCTTCCCGAAGGCTTTCACCAACTGGCGTCATTTCGCCTCTCCGATTCCAGCGGGGAATAAGTTTGTTTTCATTTTTTATATTTTGTTTGTGCTTTGAAGTTTCTTTAGCGGTTAGATTTGTTTTACGGGGTAGGGTTGCTAGCCCTATGCCCAACCTTCCCTCTTTACCCGGGCTTAGGACCGGCTAGTAACTAGTAAACTAGTTAACCAGGCGAGGTTCACTGGGTCAGTGCTTTACGCAAACCACAGTTACGTAGCCTTAGTTTTGGGGAATTTCAAAATGATGTGCGCTGCCTGACCGTATAGCCAGCCTAGTCCACTAAAATCCGGGCTTTTATTGATGGTCAGCCATTAATAATCAACCCTCTACACAGTTGCATCACGACATATCTGTCCATTCAAAGCCCGGAAAGCGCATTAGTTTTTTAATCTGCCTACTTAGACACTAATCCGCTTGCTTGTAACAACTCTAACTACATTTTAAACTGAGTTCCCTTTACTGGACTTCACAGACCATCATCTTAAAACTACGAAATAAAATTACACTTCACATACTGAGTTCTCGACTAAGTAGCATACACCAAAAGGGAAAAGCTGAACTACCATTCAACTTTACTGAAAAGTTAAACATATTTCTACAGATTTTCAATTTTTTTGTATCTGTAGCCTGACTGGGTAAGTATTACTAAACACCATATCAGTGCCACTTTCACCTCAATTTTCTGAGCAACAGTGTTTTACTGTTGCTCTGTACGAAAGATCATACAGGCTAATTTTGAAAGTTTAATGTCTATTCCTTAGGTCTATAGAAACCAAGTGGTCAACGCTCAGAAACTCAGAAACGTGAAGATACTTTAAAGTGCTTTTAGGCAATCATTCTTCAGTTGGCCGTCATGTTTTTCAATAACAATTTTCGAAGTGGTATTATTCCAAGTTTCTCAAATCAAATAACACACTATCATACGCAATGTAAGCATAAAACGCTAAAAACAAAAACTAGGTAAGAATATGTGTAATCAACTTCCAGTTACCGTATTTGTGTATTTTCACTGGTGAAAATAGTTCAACACCAAAGTATGTCTACTGACTTATCAGTAAGAACAGGATAACAACGCAACCATTGCATACATATACCGGCTGGTCGCTGGTTCGAATCCGGCCGCGACCCAGAGTTCCATCTCATCTTCAATCGTCACCAGTAAAAACTGAATTTGTGTTTAAGGGAACCGCCAGTACACATAAAAAGCACAACTGTATACGATTAAAGTCATGAAAGTCGTTACTTTGCGGTCTAACGACTGAGAATGAACAACTACTTCATGTCATAAAATACGGTCATATACATCTGATTTAGTAAACTAATTCTATAATGACTACTAAGAATGTTTAACGAGCACCATAAGAAGAAAGAATGGGTTTTCATAGAGTGAATATGTGGGAACATACCTTATCATCAAGCATAGTTGGATGGTTGATTGGACCAGAAGTAAAATGCATCACAAAATTAACATAAGTAGTCCCCTATTATCGTTAGCCGATTACACAAAAGATTTCCGCAGTTAAATATTTTACCTTCCTACGTCGCCTCACCCGAAAGAAATCTTTTGTTGCCAATTTTTTGTCTTGTCGTTTCGCAGTGTAACTTAACCACAACGCAAAAGTTTTAAGAGAACAAACACTCAAGACACCTGAAGCACATTCTTAGTCGGGATCATACAGAAAACAATTAGATCCTGCTAAAAAAAACCAGACTTGCTTTTCTCCCGTTGACCCAATCTGGAAAAGCTTCAAAGTGAGGTCCCAGAAAGAAAACGGTCCCTCTAGAATGAACCATCTACGCTGAACTCTGTAAGAGAAAATAAAGTACTTACTAACCACAATAGATCTTTATCCTCAGAGTAGAAGGATAAAACTACTTGGACTAGGGATCTGAGATGGAGCGAAAAAGAAATGACACAACACCTTCAAAAGAATTAGGGCCGAAAATCGGAAATCCAACCATCTGCTACGCCTTCTAGCTGCAAAAAAAATATATAAATGATTAGGAATTCAAAGAACTGAATACATATTCTCTCTATACGATGAAGTCAGTGAGCGATAAATGAATGTACATGTACATGTTCGTTTGCTTCCTTAGAGGGAAGAATATTACTACGTTTCATCTACACCAACTGCGAGTTTTTTCTAAATTGCCTGGAGCCAAAATGAAGGCGGTATTCTACTTCCAAATCTTTATTGTTTTATCTTCTTTGAAATAATAAGGATAACACCGTGTACAAGCAATTTAAAGTCATGCGACCGAAATCAATAGATAATGATTGACCATTAACTCACTACATTAAGACCAGTATTGTCAAAACTTTACTCTCATCTGTATTGCCTGGACGCCACTTGCAGAACACAACGCCCACCACAACCATATTTTAATTTCATCAATAAGTGAGAAGAGAGATAGAACTCATTCCCGTGAAAAATCTTGGGTACCACGACTCAGTTTAAGTCACTTGAGTGAACCTTAACGCCGACTACAATGTCATACCCAAAACAGTTGGTCGCATCTCTCATCTTCCCCACATCCGAAGTTTGACTCCTGGAACCAATATCCTCATTTTCAAATGAACCTTCATTACGTAAAACTAAAGAGACCCACCTGTTTCACAAATTCATCATAGGTAATACGTTCATCTTTGTTAGAATCTGCTGAGTTCACTATATCATATACTTTGGACTTCGGTAAATCTGACTTTCCGAGTAAACTCTTGAGTTCGCACAACGGAATACCACCCTCACAATTGTACTAAAGAACTTCAAAGATTAAAGCACTTCATTTACCTGGTCAAATGTAGGTTTAAATTGCTATAATCTAATCGTAAAAGTTATATAACAACATACTTTATCCAAGTACCCACGAAGAATTACGCTACGCCTAGACATAACTACCTTGATATTTGAAAACCGAACTACCGAGTGATAAGGTCAAATGTCCAAACACTAAAACAAACCAGCTTATAGGTGCTTATGAACAAGCTAACAGCCAACGTCTAAAATCAATAATACAAACATGTGAAACTGAAAGCTTACTAAGAAATCTGGAAGATGGTGTTAAGCCTATGTGTTTTTCGTGACTCTGGTTCCAATATCCAATATCGAGCTAGTCTAAACCAATTGATTTCTTCGCGCTCGCTTCTACGTCTTGCCGAACGGTTCCAGGTCTTTGGTGGATCCCAATGCAGTAGGTCTACCCACTAGACTTCTGTAGCTCTGGTCAGCCTGACGGGCGGTTGGGTGTTGGTTAGATTTGTAGGGAGTGTTGTTTGTTTGCTTTTTCTTCCGAGGACTGTGGTGCAGGTGGGTTCCTCAAATGTCGTGTCAGCAGACAATTGGTCGGACTGGTTGTAAAAAGGGGATGAAAAATATGTGCAGAGAAATCAGGGAAGAGAAAGTGCAGAGAGAGACAAAATAGAAAAAGAAAAGGAAAAAAGGAAGAAGAATAATACATTAAAAAAGGATTGGGAAAAAGGAAACGGCACGGAAGAATAAAACATTGGTAGGTCCATGAGGAATAGATGATAGGGAAAGCTTTTGTCAAAGTTTGAAAGCGTAAAGTCAGAATTAGGAAGAATAAATAACATGATAGGACGAATGCGAATATGGTAATTCTTTTAGTAGGAAACGGTAACTGGAGGGGACGTCTACAGGAAGATATAATGTTAAGCCAAGTTCTCAGTGATAGTGACTCTACAAAGTGTTCAGTAACGGTTGGTCGTACAGAGTTAGTAAGTCGTGTTAGCTTAGTCCACATCCCGGTTGGATGACCGCAAACCGTGCGTCGCTGAGTAACTGTCCAACCTCTTCTTGAAGCTGTAAACAGACGGAGTAGAAACAATCTTGGCAGGCAATGCGTTCCAGTGGATACAAACTCGCAGAGAGAAGTGTGATCGCACACGGGTTTTCACTCTTTGGTGAGCGATCCTCCTTGGGTTACCACCAGGATCGCCAGAGTGGTGGTTCGGTAGGGTTCCATTGTTCGGATGACTTCAGTTACTGAGTATTTTGTAAGCCGTTATCCAGTCACTTCATAATCCACGGTAGCTTAGGGAGTAGAGCCCCTGATCTTTCAGCCTGTCCTGATATGGTTTTTGCCTCATTCCCAAGACACCCTTTGTAGCTCGCTTTTGGACTTTTCCCAGGAGGTTCATGTCTCTTTTCAGATGTGGTGGTGCAATGACGTTGTGTGCCTCTAGTTAGTGTCGTATTTGGGTCTTATACAGCTTCAAAAAGAGTTTCGGGGTCAGGGCGCCCAACTGTCCGCGCATGAAGTGCAGCACTGCGTAGGCTCTGGAGGCATCTCCTGGATAATTGGGGCTAGTGCCCAGTTTGTCAGTCAGTACAAGTCAAAGTTGGCAAAGTTGTGTTCCACAGAAAGAATAGGGCACCTTCTTAGAGTATGGGATGCGGAGAATCAAGGCTCGGCACCTATCCAGGTTAAATGCTAGTCCACTAATATCCACCCACTCTTCAAGCAATCTGAGGTCACTTTGCAATGCACTTGACTCTGTTTCCGACGCCATAGCTATCCATAACTCGACCTCATAAGCGTAGAGTAGAATTGGGGAGTTGAGACTCAGTGGGAGGTCGTTCACAAAAAGAAGGAATAGTAACGGACCCAGAATCGCCCCTTGTGATACACCAGATGGTGATGTCCTCCAAGTCGAGCAAACTTTGTTGGCTTTTGCGCAGAATTGTCTACCGCCTAGATAGTCCTGCAACCATGAAAGCACTTGTCCCTTGATGCCCAACCTTTCTATTTTGTGAATAAAAACGGTGTGTGGAACTGTGTCAAAGGCCTTAGTAAAATCCAGGAAAATAACATGGACAGGAATCTGGAGGCCCCAGCATGCCGTTCACTTATCACCTGCAGTCAGAATGTTTGTAGCACAGGACCTACCCTTTCTGAAACCGTGTTCAGCATCACCTAGTGCTCCCCTCTTTTCTAAGTACTCCCTGATATAGCCGTCTATCAGACTCCACATTACTTTTGACACCACTGGTAGAAGGGCTATGGGTACGTAGCATTTTGGGTTCTGCCCGTCTCCACCTTTGAAGGTGGGGGACAGTGTAGCACTTTTCCACTCTTGTAGAAGCATGTAGCTGTCTAAGGAGTGTTAAAACAAGTTACACAGCGGGCCGCACAAGGCACCCGCGCATTGTTTCAGCACAGCCGGTCGGATGTCATCACACCCTGGTGATTTCCTTGGGCGGAGCTCTGACAGTTTTTCGAGGACCATAGCAAAAGTTACCTTTATTTCAGATAACTCTACTGCGTTTGGTGGTGCTGAATTTCGGTCGGATGGTTGGTACTTTTGGTTCGACAGGGGCGTATTCAGTTGCGTATCGAAGGTGGCGCTAAAGGCTTCGGCGATCTCTGGTCCGGAGAGGTCTTCTCCATCTTGGCCTTTCAGTAGGCAAGCCCCCTGGCCGGTGGATTTTCTGCCTGCCATAAACCGATGTAGGTTTTTGGGATTTGCCTCGTGCTTTTGAGCAAGGTTCGTCCGGAATGACCTCCTGTCTCCCCTCACTCTAATGTTACATCGATTTCTTAGGGTGATATACACGGTGTGGTCAGACACTTTTCTGGAGGTCCTCCACCTGTGCTATGCTCCCCTCCTGGCTTTCAAAAGGTGCTCAGTGCCCAGCTTCAACCATGAGGTTCGCTTCCGCGGTATTGCTGTGATTACTGGGAAGTTTTAGGAGACAGACCTCTTGTTGGTTTCTCTGACTAGCTCCCAATGTTGGTCAATCGACAGGTTGCTCCACTCCTGAGGCCATGGTGCTGCCGACAGATATTGGTTCATCGCCACGTGGTTCACTTTGTTGTAGCAAAGACAAGGGCGCGGTGCCTCCCATGACAGTTGTTCGAAGAGTACCAGATCGAACACTACCACGCCGCGATCGCTGCTGCCGAGGGGGCTTTGAACCTGTACATTTCCTACCAGCAGTGGGTCACTAGTAAAAAGGTAGTCCAGTTTAGACGGCTTTCGCTCGACCCCCTGCGAGTGTCATCACTAATATTCTCTCGCGGCCTGGCCTTTTTGATGGTGTTGAGTGGGTTTTGGTCGAACCTTCGGTTTGAGGTTCCCTTGTTGCGCTCAAGACTGAGAGTCGGAGCATTAAAGTCACCGGTTATAGTGGCCTGGTCATATCCGGTGGATGGTTATTACAAGCTCCCGAAGAGTAGGAGCAAAATAGTTGAGAAAGTTATGTGGTAGGTTCCCAATGGGCAATGGTAGTTGTCAGTGAATAGCTGTTGTGTGGCACCAGTGTATCAAGAGCAGGAGGCTAGTAAGCAGTAAATAAGGAGCGCGTAGTGCCAGGGTAGTGAAATCCGTAGTGTCCTGGGTACGTCACTGGAAAGCCGTTCGAACTGAAGCAAGTTTTTAACCTTGAAGCTGAGTCCGTTGAAGGAGCTGTGACTGCATTTTGCATCACAGTATTGCATAAGGCATATACTCTTCAATGAAACAGTGTTTGCCTGGGCCGGGCGCTGGCTTTCTAGTGTGCCCTCCTGATTAAGATCCCTCGTGATGAATACAGCGTTGCGACAAAGATTTACTTGCCCTTATGATTTGCCTCGCGTTTGATCTTCCGAGCCATGATGAGGCTACTTCCCTTTCCACGATGGCCTAAGATGAATCGTCCTGGGTGTCCTAGTTTTTCAGTTCGTGTCTTAACCCTTGGCTTTGCAGCTTCACTTTTCGTGGATCTTTGTATTTTCCGAAGATATCAGAGTCCCTCATGAGAGTTGCGTGCGCTACCGTATTAAAGGCCTCTGGA